ACGAGTTGGCGAGAGACCACAAGCTTCGGCTTCGTTTTCTTTCTTGAGTCGCTGGACCATAGACTACCGTGCCTCTCGTTCCCTCTTTCTCTCCAACCGTCCTCCTTGGTCGCTCGTCTCCAGCCTCCACCTCTCCTCCGCGCCTCTCCAGCCCTCCCTCCTTCCAACTATGTCCCCGCTGCTCCACTCCTTCTTCCACTAGCGGACCGTCGTCGCTGTTGCTGTTGCTGCTTTTAGCGCTGTTTACCAGCCGCAACGCTGCTGGTCTACGCTGGCTTTACGCTACGTGACGTAGGTGGTATCCAGCCGAGGCACGCGATCAGAGCGCTTTCACGGAAAAAAGAAAGGAAATCCTGGGCAATTGTAAGGGAAAGGTGATTTTTTTTTTTCTTGTACGTATAATTTCTAACGTTTTTTAACTTGAGATATCTGCGAAAAAGGATTGCTATTATTAGATTGCTTTATAATTTTTATTAATGTAATTAAAGAGATTTAATAGAAATTTATTTTGTTCTACATCTAAAGTGTACTCGTTTCTGCAGATTTAAATTTTGCATAAATGCATAAATATCCTGACGAGTCCTTTGGATGCTGTACGATCAAGATAGATATTAACACACAATATAATGGTTAAAACGTAAAATGCGGTTGATATTCCAAGCTTATCATAATTCCTGAAGTCAACTTTTTCGTTTCCATTATACGTGTAATATGTAAATATATATACAGAAATTGTAATAATAGCGATTTTAACCAAATATCTCGAAAAAATCATTCGAAATTATTGATTACATAATTACCGAATAATCCTCTCTAAGTTCTCCGCTTCTCGTTTATTCCCCAATCCCTTTTTCTTTCTTTTGTTCCGTATATACGAAACACGGGGTGAAGGCGGTGAGAAACGTTGAATAATTCGCATCTGTTTCGACGGAAACACCTGTGCGCCGGATCGTTTGCTCCGGATCGTTGAATCGTTGCGCGGATAACAGGCATTATTCGACTGTTTCAGCCGACGATTCTCTTCGGCCACGGTAGTGAAACGAGATATGAGCACGATTGTAAAAGCGTTAATATGTTAATGAAGACGCGTGGGAGTCTTACCTTCGTAGATTTCCATGCCCGATTACATCGCTTCTTGGAAACGAGTCGCGGTGCCGATCTCGATTCCGATCGGAATGCGCGCACCATCATATTTCCTACGGCTCCGCTCATTGTCTCGTTATTTCTTAGAGAGTTTTCGCTACGATATATCTCAATCGTTCGAGAACTTCCTCCTATCAACCTAGATGGAAGATGGAAGATCGCGCGTGTTGAGGAAGAAACGGCAAGGATGCTCACTGAAAGGATACAGGCAAAGGTTTTTCCTGCTCGGCTCGTCTGTAAGGAGAAATCGATTAACGAGCCGTTTCGATCGTTCCAAGGAATCTGGACGAGTCTTTAATCTGGAAAATAACGATGGTTATTCGAAATGGAATGATCGTTTATTTACTAGGAATAGAATATTTCGAATATTCGTTACTTTGCCCAATCCCTTATACGATTATTCATTTAATTTGATAAAGGAAAAAAAAATATAACGAAGTCGTCGTTTGCGTTTTCTTCCACCTCTTCCTGAAACAATCTGAAAAAAATTATAAAGTCAAATTAAAAGATCCGCATGCAGGAGGATTTCTCGATCCGAGGAACAAGTGATTAATATTGATAGTTTGAAAAACGAAACAATTCTGAATTGTTAGAAATAATTAAAAATTTAAGTATCTGTTTTTCGATTAAATCGATGTCGTGAAGATAGATTCTCGAAACGAAATATATATCTTCAACTTGAAGAGTTCGATTTTAATGTAATATACCGAATTAAATTTTAAACTTAATATTAATCACTTTGTTCCTCGATCCCTCGTTTTCCCCTCGATCGATCAATTACGCGTCGTGACACGCGCGAATCACGAATACTCAGAACCCTCCTGTTCATCGTCACCACGTTTGTTGTCCCTAGGAAAACGTACGTACGTGCGAGTGACCACGAGACCACGAGAGTGGTGACAAGCAATTAGTACCGACAATTAGCAGCGACGTGTTCGGTCGCGATCGTGCCAAGGATAATTGCTCGTTTACCGCCCGCCGCTCGCCTAGTTTCAATGACGAATTCGCAAACGGTTTTTTGCGGTTTCGTTCGCCTTCGACGCGAGAAAGAAAATGCTCTCTCGACGCGCCTCTCGATTGCCATTCGACGAAATCCACGTTGAACAGGCCAATTGCAAGATATTATTTCGTATGTTTATGTCCATTTTATCGCGACGATCGCGTTTAATGGATAGATATTCATTTTTGTATTGAACCAATTGTGCACGCATTCTATGTATTCATTCCACAGAATAATAGAATTGTGCAAATCAAATTGTTTGAGAGCAATTTTCGAAACTTTTAGATAAAAAACTCGGCGAGTTTATGATTAGTTTATATTACTCTAGCTCTAGGAGTAATAGTTTTAGAATAAAAGCAAAATTGTACATTAATTACATCAATTTTAAACAATTTTGTTTCATCAATCTAGGTAATTAGGAGAGCAGAAATGAATCGAGAAAAGAAGATGTAAAATGGATTAGTTGATGAACTCCATACTGCTTCTTTAAAACAGTATTTGTTAATTGTCACTATGCTATGCTTTTAACTCTGTGTATTTAAACCTCTATAATTTTTTAACGAAATGAGAGAATTCGATTGCCTCGGCAACGAACAAGAAGAGCTGTCGAGACAAGTAATAATAATGCTGTTAACACTATTTGCGAGGAACGACGCGTGGCGTTATACTTAAGTACTTGGTACGTTCTATCGTGGTTAATAGAGTAGATACGGCAGGCGATCGGCGGAAAACCGCCATTTATGGGATAGATCGGTAAACGGGAGTGCGAATCCGAGGCCGTGCGCCTCTTCCCTTGGGACAAAGACGAAATCAATTATCCGACGGCGATTGAACCTCGTCTGGGACGTAACACGACGTCACCGTCCCGCTTAATGATCTCTCTTTATAGATTTACCGACAGGTGTAATAAATTCTAGCAACGCGTCGTTATTATTGGTGCTCCAATGGCTCGTTATTATAGCTAGGGAGCTCGTCCTCGATTCGGCGAGTTGACGCGTTTCGCGGATGTGAACGTCTCACTTTTATCGAGAAGAGGAACAAAAAGATTCGTTTAATTCTTCCTTCTTTTTTCTCCTCCTCCTCGAGAATTTTTTTTTTTTTTTTTAATGAATGTAAAAGTATAATTCATTCTAAAATGTTTGCACGATTCCTGCTGATTATCAAAGCATGCATCATATCTTATAAAAGTAGTATTATTCTTTTTTCAGTTTCCTTGAAACACGTTCTCGTGTGTTTTTAATGAAATTATTTTACGAATATAAATATTATCTTTCATCAGATTTATTTTTCCAAGTAGAGAGATTAAAGTTATAGAAATTAACGGAATGATATATTATATTCTTAAAATCTTCCGAATCGGGTTTGATCGCAATTAAATGTTTCCTAGACGTTTCTCGTTCATCGAATTAAAAGGTGCCGACTCTCTCGTTCTAATAAGCAAAGCACTTTGCTCGTTGAATGTCGAATGTTCCTTCGAGAGAAAGAGAAAGAGAGGAAAGGTTTTGTTTCGTTTAATCGACGCGCGAGAACAATGGGCACGAAGGCGACAGGGAGCAGAGATTGAGCGACTGAAACTCGTTAGATTCGCGAACGAGGCAACCGGCTATTATTTACACAACGGAGGAGACATGCGCCAGTATCCACGGAGAATGCAAATTACCGACTACCATAAAGGACGGTATGATGCGTGCACTGGTTGCTCGTAATGCACGACGTGCGCAGCATGCACGTGCAACTTCTCTACGATTTACGATCCAAGAATTAGACACAATAGGAACGGCCGACTCGTGTCTAATAACCGAGTTACAGCCATACTTGGCGGCCGATTAATGACCACTGCCTAGGCAGAATTTGCAAGTTCCCCGTTGAAAAATATTCGCGGCATTTATCTCGTCTTCGAGCTTCTTGTTAAGCCTTATCGCGACGACCTCGAGATCTTTCTCAAATAAAAATCTTTTAGAGGTGGAAATATATTTGAGAGCAAAACTCTCGAAGAGATTTGTATCGTCATACGATAACAATTTATATATTAATACTTTTCCGATTAAATTGATTTTTAACATAATAATGCAAAAAAAAAAAATATTCAAAGTAAACTATGTATTTGAAAAATTGTGTACGATACAAATTTTATTTTTCATAAATGGAATACGCCTCTAGAATACTTCTTGAACGATTGCTTCTCTCGTGGCGCCTAAGAATTGTGTGAAATCGACGCCCGGGAAACGTGCCACCTGTCGAGTTCGAATAAGGAGACGTGCTCATGGTTGCTCACGGTTATGATTTGCTAATTAAAGTTTAGATCGAGTCATGGAATCGAGCGTTTCATCCGTCAGGGAAAAATTGCACAGTCAAACAGCGACCGCCGACAAAAGCGGCGCATTACCTCTAATTACGGTCCACACTGCAATTCCATCTTTGTCCGCGCTACTTTTGCGAATTTATACGCGCCAATTGTTCGCCTCGGTTACCCTTGACCGAACAAAATTCCTCATTTCTACGTTGAGCAACGCCTTCAACACTTGTCCTTTTTCAATGACAAGTGTTCGTGATATTAACTTTTGAAATTTTCTAGGTTGAAGTGGCAATTCTCAGATTTTCTGCTAATACGCGCATTATTTATATTTGAAGGATATAAAAAAATATATATACCAAGAATAAACGAAATAAATGAAAAAAAGCATTTTCTCTAAATGATTTTAAAAATTTGTAAAAAATACAAATTTGGATAAAAAATTTTGCAGCCCGAATACTATTATTTTATCCAAATTCTAATTCAAATGGCGTCACTTATATGAACTTTCGTGATCTTTGTGATACATACTTTTGATCTATATAAAAAAATTCGTTGATTTGAATAGTATTCCTTAGAACACGTAGTTCCATGAAATCCTTTTATATGAACGTGAATTTCTATTATGTGAACGAAAAAAAAAAACATAAGTGATGGGTTATATGAATTTATCTCCCGACATATAAACGTAGTTTACTGCGTATACAAAGTAATTTGATGAGAGTTATGACACGAGTACGATGTGCAAGGTAACATCTTTTATCGTTATTATGAATCTAATTGTCAGTTCATTTCCGTTTACGCGGCAACGAAAAACCGTACAAAGGTTAAACTTTCCGGTGTCGGATTAGAAAGGCATTAGCAATGACTTTTGTCTCGACAGGAAATCTTGTTGGTGAATCACTGTGTCACCTGGCCGCTATGTTTGCCTATTTATAGGATAAAAAGAAAACCGACGTTCTTGGAGAAGTTGATTCTCTATATGGGAAAAAATACTCGGGCTCGAATTGATGAAATATTATATTCATCAATCATTCTCCGTACGTGTATTCTATTTATCACTGATTTCCGAATGATTTGCGGCATTTATTTTCGCACGTTATTAAAATTAATACAATGACAGAGATATTTACAGAAGAAATTTTCTTGTATAACGTCTATATGCGCGATTTTTCTCATCGTGATCAATCTCGATATTAATAACATTAGAGTAATAACGTAATAGTAATAATAATAGCGATAATAATAATTATTATTGTAACAGTGATAATAATAATTAATTGATCATGACAATAATAATAATAATAATAATAATAATAATTATAATTATAATAATAATAATATTGATAATCGATTAGATCGGAGAAGAGGACGTGCCCGAGAAAAAGAAGAGAAATGGCGCATGCCCTTCTGCGAGGGCCAACGATCGGACTAAAAATCACGCGAACAAGAGGCGAAACGCGAATAATTAAATACATTATACCGTTTACAAAACAGGCGGAAATAAATAACGACGGATTGGCCTCGAGAAATGGCAATTCGGCTTGCTCGGATGCACGCGCCCCTTCTCTATCGTGATAGTAAAATTATATTACAGGTCTCTACGATTTTCTTTGATTCTCAGAGAGATAATCGTCGATTCACGCAATACACGTTCACTCGTTTCTCTCTCATTCGTTTACTGTTCGCACTCCACGACGAGATATTTATTCGTGCGTCTGCGTATCTCATTGTGCGTTTCGGAATTTCAAAGGACGAACGCTCGTGGTAATAATATCCGCGAAGCCAAAAAAAATTCGATGAGATTCCTCGATCTACGAGGTTAGATTTCACGAAACAACGACTCCAAACGCTTTTCCAGCCATCTTTGTATCCATTTCCGTCATTTCGATCGTGTACTCGTCTGTCCCGTTCGAATTTTCTCGTCTCATTTTTCCATGTCCCCGAAATTTATAACGAAGGCACTATTTATCGAATCTGTGAATTCGAATTTACGATTCAGAACGATTCAGCTGGGGACACAAACGAGTTCGAACGAGAGGACGAGCAACTATATGACTAGCATTTACGGAGCGTGCTCTTCGATTATGGAAGTTTACGCTCCACAAGGTTTGTCAGCGTTCGTCCTTAGATTTCATCTACATAAATATCTACATTTATGCGTATATTTATGCGTTTCATTTTTAACAAAGGATTTAAAAAAAATCACGATCCTACCTCGTTAATCAAGCTTCTCCTCTTGATCATTCCATTCTCCACGAATGAAACTCGGTTCCGAGTATCGGTTCTTCGACGGTTAAACGATTAATTTCGTATCTACGGCAGTTGTCTCGCGATGCATTGCGACTCGTCGATAAGATAGATTTCTAGATGTACAAAGGAGAGAAGGGAAGAACAGAAAAAAGGAAAAGTATTTCGGTGGTATAGCGCGATATTCGACCGTTCGAGGGATGCAACGCATCGAACACAGATCTCCCTCGAGAAACGCTTATCGATTCAACGAGAAGAATTGGAGATGTCTAGAGCTAGTCTAGGCTCTCAATTTCGTTCGATCGTCGCCGCGATTGATTAAATCGTCCGTACGACTAAGGCACTTGTTCGTTTGCTCGTTCATCCGACTCTTCTTGGAAACATTCATTCTTTCATCACGCACGCATTTTATCTTTTCACGATGTAACGATCCGTGTTTCTGCGACGAAAAATACTAACGAACAGGATGAACAAAACTAGGCACTACGAGCACTTTCTTCGCGTACAATCCATACGCGCATGCGTACACGCAAAGATAAATATTAATACGCGAGATTCTCCTTTGTATCGCACATATATCGATATAAGCATGCGCGTTTGTTATAATAAAGAATATTAAAACGACTTACACAAATACGCGGTTCTCTTAAACGTTTACGATAAAGGCACCCAAGTTATTGGATTTAGATTTTAATGGGATCCGTGAAACGGATTGATCAGCTAATTCGAGTTATTGGGAAGATCTGGTATATCGCGACCAATAATATTACAACTAGGTTAGGTAAACTTGCCGCTTAGCATCGAGTTATTCACGCGCCATTTTCCATTCGCCATTTTCCATTCTCTAGAATTTCGAACGAAGTCTGACATATGCCTGACATTTACCCATTACGTAACGATCACAAGCACAAGTTCCTCGACCTCGAGAATAACGCGAGACGAGCTAATCTTTATAAACTTTCGTTTCGCGAACAACTCGATGCCCCGAATGCGTTCTTTTATTCTCGCAGTTCGAAAGGACGGCTGGTCAGTCTATCGGTAATGGCAGACGACGTGTCTCGCTCTCGCGATCCATCGTTCAAACATTTGTCGTCACCAATCGAATTCAATTTTTTTATATACAACGATCGACACACGCACTCCTGTTTTAGTGCAATCCAATTGACCACAAGCTCTTCGCTCTCGCAAAATCTCGGTCGTCTGAATTTATTTACAACACGCGTCACGAACAATCGGTACTCAACTATCCCCACTCTATATATTTACAGCCGCCCCACTCCGCTGTTCTCGCCTACCTTTCACCTCGATTATTCGTTCGAATACCCATCTATCGTAACGCGTACGAACTATGTACTGTACATCGTAACGTAATATTTACAACGGATCCATCCATATTTGGACAATGGATCCAGAACTTTGAAGCTGCTCGAGAAAGCCCTTCATAGACATATGTATCGTCCTAATATCGATGTCTACGACGCTCCTTGAACTTGAAATCGTCGAATTCGTGCTTGTACCGACTCGCATTGTACTTCGCTATATCTGGTATATCTGCCAGCTCTGACAGGCTCGCGGATTACTACTAAATTCCCGCCTCTTTCACGCAGCGCTTCTAGACCAGTCTTCCCATGAGTCGTTGGGGGCGTAGACGCTTTCCCGAATTTCGCGTTCGACGTTTCTGACGAGAATCGACTCAAAGCTTTGCTCACTACCCCGTTACATTCTCTCGGCCATATTCTCGTGTGATGCCTCTGTTCCCATCTGTCGGAAGATGACTCGGTCGCCGAAAATGGAAAACTGGATCGACCTTGACTCTTTCCGTATAAAATAAAATCTAAAGAATCATCTGAGTAGATGCTACTTCTATCGCTCGAACTATCGGTCGATATCTCCGATACCGAATCGCTGCCGCTGTCACTGCACTGTTGCTCCTCGCCCAGAATGAACACAGGTGTGCATTTGAACACCTCGCCGGCTGGCATTGTGTGCGTAGCCGTCGCCCTTCTTTGCGTGGTTGTCGTTACATTTGAAGAGACTGTCGTACCTGCAGACGAGACCGGCTCGATCAGCACAATCTCCGTCCCAGAGAATTTTTGCGCCAAGTTGTCCATGTTTCTTTTGAAAGTGTCCCTACGATCGGAACTCAGGCCAAATTTCATAGGTTTGGACGATAATTTTGACGTTTTTGAATACAAGTTCTCAGTATGGGAGGAGACCGCTCTGTTCGCCGTAGGTTTCGTTTCGACACTTTGACAAACATTGGACGATCTTTGTTTCTCGGAGTCGTTTTTAGAGGTAGCAGTAGTAGACAGACACGTTTGATGTTCCGTGCTCGTGCTCGTGCTCGTGCTCGACTTCGAGAACGATTTCGCGGTTGGAGAAGCCGCGTCTTGGATAGGGGATTGATCCATCGAGGGGCAGTTGAGCGTGGATAACGATGGACGAGGGTCCTCGAACATGGCGAACCATGGATGTTGAAGGCATTCCGTGACGGTCAATCGTTCGCTGGAAAACGATAAAAAATTCGATTAAAGTCTTAAAATATAACTTGCCTATAATTTCTCTCGGTATTTATGATGCGTTCTGTCCCGTTCTATCCCCCGTGGTTTCCGGCAGAAGCCGCGGGACATCTTGTCTCCGGTAACGGGCAATCTAGTTGCGTAACGAGTCAACGAGCGGATCGAGAGGGAGGAAGGAAAACGATGCATTCACGGCGATAAAGCGCGTGCTGACAACGAGATAAGCCGAGTTTCGCGTTGGAAAGGCGCGGATATTCCGGATGGAGACTTCCTCTCAGCTGTCCGACTGGTCGTCGATAAGGAAATCTACGACTTTTTCAGCGGAACTCGTTCAACGTGCCAACGTCCCTCTTCCCGTTTCGAAGAAAGTAGCCGGCGATGGAATGTCGATCGTTCCGTCTCGTTTCCATTTCCACGTACGCGCAAGGAACTGAATTCAGGAAGGCGATCAAGTTTCGAAAGTTCTTCTGGCGCGTTTATCGCGATGCGAAGAAAAGGCGTCAACGGCGCTGGGTCGCGTCTCGGTGGATAAGGTATTATCGGGGGAACGTGCTACTCGGAATTCCGGCACTGGTGAAAATAATGCTTTCGAAGAAGCGTGCCGCGCCATCACCTACCGAGAACGTTTACCGCTTACCGTATACCTCGAAGCGAAAGAAGATAGGCCCCGTGGAAGGCGTCGATCTCGAGAACGTTAGTTGGTTGGTTGGCGTACGTTGGCATTATTTAGCTTCTAGGAACGAAAGCAATCGCTTTACGCGGTAGACGCCGCGATGTCAGATCGCGACATTCCGACGTAGTTGAACCGTTTTCATCGAAATACCGATAGAGGCTCGGATGGATTCCGACTACTACTCACTTTGGATCCTTGACCATCAGCTTGCGCATAAGATCGCGCGCCTCTTCGGAGACGTCCTCGAAGAGATCGTCGGGGAAATCTAGGCGACATCGGCTAATGTTGCAGAACGTTTCCTGTTTTGTATCACCTCCGAATGGGGAGCATCCCGTTAGCAACACATAGAGCAATACCCCAATGGACCACATGTCTGTTGCCAGGCTGATCGGCTCGTAGTTCAACACCTCTGGAGCTGAAACGACCATGAGACGCGACTTGAATGACGATGGCCAGAAGAAAAAGAAGCATTGAGAGACGCGTAACGAATAACAGTTCGTGGGAACAGTGGTATACTGTTATACGTGTATACCATACGTATACGCATATGACTCACGAAATTATGCATTTTGAATCTCATAAGGAAATTCATCTAATCCGAGGAGTGTAATTTGAATGAAATATATAGGAATACGTGGAATAATTTTATCGAGAAATCTCTTTGAAATGAACGTTCAAAATAAAAATAATTCGTAATGGAAGAAAATTATATTTTTAAAACAGAGAGAGAGAGAACGTATTGTTAGCTTGTGGATTTTCACTTTTTTAATCCTTATGTATTATTCAATATGGATGCATCCTTAACATAAAATTGGAAATTTGTTATTTTCTCTTCGAACGATTTTCAAATCCAATTCTTATTATTCCTCGTATTTACTATAAATTTATATCCAAGCTTGAAATTTCATTTATTCACTAGAAAATAAATGAGATCAGAAATTTTATAATATCCTTAACTTCGATTGTTGACACTTAAAATAATATTTGACCAGATAAAAATTCATCATTAACATATTGTTAAAAAGATAAAAAGTATATACAAATACTTTTTTGAGCCACTGTGCACAATGTACACCATTCAACTTGGCTGCGACCGTTAGGGCAATGTTAAAAGTAATCGCAAAAGTAATCGCAGGGCTTGTATAAATGGGTCTTCCCGATCAACGATCGAGGCAGAGCCCACGCTCAACTTTCTTACCGCTCGAAAAGTGGCTTGCACTGTTCAATTATGCAACGGCCCCTGTTCCCCTAATGGAATTACACGGTACAAAACGAGCCGCAAAGTCGATTTACCTTGCGATTTTACTTGCTACCAACTGTTCGATCGTTGGCTCGAGTACCAAACACCGTGGAAAATTTCGATTAACGAAATAAGTGAAGAGGTTATGCACTTACCCACGTAATCAGGCGTGCCCAGAATCTCCCTTATGTCCGCGCCATGGCTGATGTATCGCGAGATACCAAAGTCGCAAAGTTTCACGTCGCAATCCGGAAACTCGCCAGTCAGGACCAGATTTTGAGGCTGCAAACAACGAGGGGAATTGAGATTAGAACGATGGATAATGGAAAAGAATTCGGTTAAAAAAGGGAGAAGGTTATTTCGCGATTGATCTTGAGGGATGCTTTCGAGAATCGCCAACGGAGACAAAAGAGTTCGTTATTTTCTTTCATCGTTCCGTGTAATTGGTTGCAGCTCGCGAGCTCTTGAAAAAAAAAAAAAAAAAAAA